TGTGACCTATCTAGAAACTTCCCATGGGCCCTCCAGGAATATAGAAATAAGATTCTTTCACTCCTAGGAAGTAACAGGAATTTAGTCCAATTTGTGCCCTGATGACAAGGTCCTAATCAAGACCCAGAAGAAGGATGAACCTTAGGACCAAATTATACCCAAATAGAAAGACTTGTTACACAACCCTTCTAACTACTCCTGCCATTAGAGTACAGGGACTAGACAATTGGATTCACTTCTTCTGGGTAAAATCCAAGTTGTCTGAGACACCAGAAAATGGAAAAGAGGGACTGCAAACCTTGTACACCTGTGAATCACTGGATGACCTCAAGCTTTTTTTTCAAAAAAGAAAACACCAACCACCCTGTTGAGGCAGATAAGTAAAACTTTTGCTCCCTCTATGTAAATTGTGTGTCTAGTGTTGCTACTCTCTTTTTTTGTTTGTTTTTTTTTTGGTTTTTCTCCGGTACCAGGAATCAAACTCATGACCTTGCACTTACCAGGCAGGCACTGTGCCACTGAGCTAAATCCCCAGCCCCATTGCTACTCTTTTGTTTACACTTCAGGTTTCTGTCCCAAGCTATGATATGACTTCTTTTGGGGCTTTTTTGTTTCTTTTGGGATCCTCTGATATGATTCAAAAACTGCCTCTAATACAAATAATAAATAGTGATTACTTACATAAGACCTTAAAACTCATCATGTCTTTCTCTTATCATCAACAGCTACCTAAGAACTTGATAGACAGCCTAGCTAAACTTGCCCAGAGTACCACCAGCATTCAAGAGCAAACAGACTTGTTAGCAGAAAACTCACAACATCATGGGGGCTCGATCTCACAACTGCTGAAACACAGGGATTATGTTTGTTTCTAAAGAAAAAATGTTGTTCCTATGTCAGTCTGTCTGAAATAGTGGGAGATACAGGACAGAAAATGGCAACTGTGCTTCTAAGATCTGCAAAGAACTATCTGAATAATGGATATCCTGGTCAGACATTTGGAACTGGGGATCTTGTTTACCGTCATGGACCTAGCCTTTGATAATGCTTCTTGTAACCTTACAATTCAGATCTTACATACTTAATCTTTTAGTCAGATTTGGTTCTTCTTGTTGGACAGACATTAAACTTCTGGCTATGGCCCTAGCTCAAGATCAGAACCTGCCTCTATGTCCACAAATCCTGGGAGGAAGAACTCAGTTCCCTTGAACTCACAGATCAATCTGGTAAGGGTTTCTTGGTCCACACATAGGTAGGGCCAACACCCCTATTTAGCCAGAAGTAGCCATAGAAGACAGGACTTCCTCTAATACTCCTTAAAGATTTCTGGGGACTAGGACTCCCAGGGACGAATGGTACAGTTAGAAATAATGGACCTAAGAGAGGCATTCTTTCCTTCTGTTTAATTCTAAACAGACCCTACAATCATTCCTCTTTCCATAGTCCTAAGAGGGGCACAGAAATAAAATAAAAACCCAAGAGATCACTGATGCTGTGGGCCAGAGCGCATGTATGTTGGATCTCCTAGCCTGACCTGCTCCCACCTCCTTAAGTGTTCATAAACATGTACTACATGCCATAAATGTAAGATCAGAGTGAATTCTGGGGCTAGCTGTCAATCACACATAGAGATCCAGGGGGAGGCAGCTGGGCTGAGGTACAAATCCTTTAAATTCTGAAAGTCTGACTTATCTGTGTGCCATTGCTGTTTCTGTGTGCTGTTACCTGGGTGCCACTTTTTTACTTCTCTGTCACCCCCAAACCCTTTTCTGTTTGTGCCTCATCTTTTGTCAGTACAGACTTGCCCCTAGGCACAACTTCAGGTGATCTCCACTAAATATAGCTGCTTAGCACTTGCTATCGGGTGGACACTTGGCAATTCTTTCCTCATTAGATACAAGAACCTGGACTCTATCTGCCCCTTCCATGGTAAAACATTCATTCTGAATATCCTACCATCTTTTCTTGCTTATATAATTTAAAAAATTACAGTTATTTTTTCATTTTATAACCTATGACAACATTTTTATTGTCTTCTCCTGTAAATTAAAGTTATATGAGAACATCCCAGTTTATCATTGCTCTATCCCATATCTTACAACAGGGATTACCACACAGAAAGATTCCATATTTATTTATTGAATGAGTGACTCAAATGGTTGAGGTTGTTAAGGTCAACTAATCAATCAGAAAATACCATGGTAAAGAGAAGAGAGTTTAAAAGAAAAACACGGATAGTTTGGGAAAGATTTATTTTCAGATGGTGGGTATATATTAGTCAGCTTTCCTGGGATAGGATAGTCAGCTGGAGTGAAATACCTGACACCCACCATTAAAGGAAAGATTTATTGTGGCTCACATGTCAGAGGTGCAGTCCATAGCCCATGCAGGAACATCATAGAGGAAAGGCATGGTACAGCAAAACTGCTCACTTCATGGTGGCCAGGAAGTAGAATACAGGGAAAGATATCTACCAAGAGATACACCCTTCAAAGGAACACCCCCAGCAACCCACCTTCAGCTGGGTCCCATCCCCTACAGCACGTGTGGCTATGCACATCAGTGGATTAAGGTGATGATAAGGATAGTGCCCTTGTAATCCAATCACATACCCACAAGTCTCTTGGTCAAGTCAAGTTGACAACTGAGCTTACTGTCACTGGGGTATGATGGATTTCTATCACTCTAATTAAGCCCCTTCTGGAATCTACCTGCAGATTTTTCCACTGGGAAATCTGCTTGCTCCCTTGGTTCCATGTGGTTTCAGTAGACTGTAGGTTCGCAACCTCGGTCCTACTGACTATGTGTACCAGATTTTTATGGGGGGCCATGCTAGCAGTGACAGGCCATATTTCTGGCCTCTAACTGCTAGATGCCATTAGCATCACTTCGTGAGTTGTAACCACCAAAAAATGACTTCAGATGTTGCCAGATGTCCTCTGGGGGGTAAAACTGCTCTACTGAGAACCACTGAGATAGATCGAGTCTACCCAAAGCTCCAGAGCTGAGCAGGCAACTCAGGATTTGCCATCTTTATTTCACTGATCTGGACTCAAGAACTGACTCTTTTGGTGGCATGTAACTCTATTTGAGAAAATCACAATTATTGAATGGACTTTTGAAGAAGTAGACAAGTTTGTACTAGAATGCTAAGCTAGTTGAATATAGACTTAGCATTGTCAGGAGATGTTTTGCTAGTTTTGGGTGAGTGTCTGCTAAGGAATGAAATGAGCAAAGGAAAGCAGCATGGGAGATAGGACAGATTCCTGAGGACATGACTTGAATATTTAACACCTGTTTTGACAAAAGCCAGCTATAGCCTTGGTCTTTTCTGTTATGTGATACAGCAAGCTGTGTTTGACCTAAGCCAGTGTGGGATGGATTGCTGTCACTTGCAGTGGAATGCGTCTGGGTTTGAGGATGTTTGTCAGTGGGAAGGAAGAGCTAGTGATCGCAGAGGCTGTAATTGATGGAACAGTGTACTAGAAGGGACTGAATGGGATGAGCACGATGTAGTCTGTGACAGGTGGTAGATGGAAGCAAGGGTAAAGGGGAGTGGATCTAGACAAGTGTGAAAAGAGAATTACCCTCTGCTGTTAACAGTTCCAGATAAGAGAGGAAAGCAGGATGAAGGCGAACTATGGTAGATGACTTGAGGCAAGTGAACAGATAAAACAGGGAAATGAAAATGGTACCCAGTGTGGATGAATAGAGGGTGATAAACAGAATCCCGCTTCTGGATATCTATCCAGAGGAACTGAAAGCAATATCTGAAGGATATTTGTATAACTATGTTCACAGCAGCACATCTGAATAGCCAAGAGTTGGAAGCAACCCAGTGTTCTTCAGTGGAAGAATGGAAAACAAAAGATGATCTATGCTTGTGCTGTGGTTTGCAAATATCCCTCACAGGCCCATATGTTAAAGGACTGGTCTCCAGGCTGTGTGCTGTTGGGAGATGGTAGAACCTATAAGAATCAGGGCCTAGTGGAAGAAATTAGGTCATTGGGGATGTCCTGTTGAAGGAAATATCATGCCTGTGGCCCCTTGGCCCCTTAGTCCTCATCTTCTGGTCACCATGAGGGGGCCAGAACTCCTCCACCACGTACTCCTACCGTGATATACTATGTCATCACAGGTCCAAGGCAAGAAAGTCAAATGATCATGGAATGAGACCCCTGAAATAGTGCATTCAATAAGTCCTTTTCTCCTTTTAATTGATTATTTAGTATTTTGTCACAGTGATAGAAACCTAACACAACACACGATGGAATTTTACTCTGCCTTTAAAAAGGGAGGAAATCCTATCATGTGTTAAAATATGATAAACCTTGAGGATACTATGCTAAATGAGTCTCAAAAAAACAAATGCTGTATGATTCTCTTTATATGGGGTACCTAAAGTAGTCAAATCTAGGGAAACAGAAAGTAGAATTGTGTTTGCCAGGAGCTGGGGAGTGGGGAGAATGGTGATCTGTTTAGTGGATATAGTTTCAGCTTTACAAGATGAAAAAGTTGAAATCTGTTGTACAGTAATGTGAATATATTTAACCCTATGGAGAATACACTTAAATTATTATGATGGTAAATTTCATGTAACGCATATGAGAGTTTTTTTTTTTTGGTTAACCACAAGTAAAAAAAATAAAATAAAAGATGCTGATCAGCATAGGAGAAAGTAGAGGGAGGAAATTTGTGGTCACCCAAGAGCAAGGTTTTGCTTTTTCAACAGTTTAGATGCTTGCACAGAGAATATTGGCAGCTAAGCCTAGAGTGTGTAGGAGAGGGTGCATAGACTGAGGAAGATGTTGGCTGAGAAATATGAGACAAAGTCTTGGGGTGAGGGAGTTCGATTTGTGGGCTGAGAGTTTGGCTAAAATGACCAAGCTATAAATCTAGAAAGAACAGCTGATAAATCATAAACTCTAAAGATCCTGGGACAATGTCTATTTTTCAAGAATTCATGGACTCCAGAACAGCAAAATCACATAAGGCAAGTGTTTTTTTAAAAACACAGTTTATTTGAATGGTAATGTATACATTACTAACAGAAGCTTATGTAAAGACTGTTAATGAAATATCCAAAGCTTGACTTGTACATCAGATTTTTAGAATTAAAACCTGACTCTTAAAACATCAAAACTTTGTGCAAATTGGAATTATTGGTTATGGGAAGGCAAAGAACACACAGTATTGTGAGGGAAAATCCCAGCCCACTGGGGATAAAAATGAAATATTTAACCATATCAAAGGTGGGATGCTACCACTAAGGCAAAGCCAGCCTTCCCAATAAAGGTGCCCATCACAACCAGAGGATGTATTTCAAATTTGGTTTGAATAATTAAAGCTACATTGCAACCCAAAGCATATGGCAGTGATCAGTATGCTGTTTGCAAATGAAGATGGATCCAGCTCCAAGGACAGCACTTCTAGTGCCTTCCTAGAGAAGGTGACACTTTTCAAGCCAAGCATTTGTTTATAGCCACAGCCTGACTTCAGGCTGATGACAAGTGAGGCTTCAGAGCGTCCTTGATGAGCACAGGTGTGAAATTGGGCTCCCGCCTTTACCGTCAGGCAAACCTGCTTTGTTCTGCATGAGAATAAGTGCGCACAGGAAATTCTAGCTTGTAAAAATCACACTGATCTTGAGACCGCACAAAGAGACTTGCTGGTTTTAAAGCGGCTTCTTGCCAGGCAATGTTCAATTGGTTTCCAAGCCAGATGGCCCACTGAAATAGATCTTCTGTTTAGGCGGCAGCATGAGTAGTGGCAGAGAAATTCAAAAGTTGAAATAACAAAGTGTTAACATTCTGTCTGCATGCCAAATACAACCATTATAAAGCCCACTAGAAGACATCATTCTGTTATAGGTGCTTCTTCAAATAACATACTCTGGAACAAGTAATGCTATAATTTGTATCAATAAACATGCATAAGACTGAAAGGAAGAAATGGAAAAATATTCTCATTCTCACTTCATATATTCACTCAACAGCTATTTATGGATGGCTTTACACTGGGCCCTTAATGGTCTGGCTGTGGAGAGCACGGTGTCCCTGTCCTCCTCCCCGCCTCTGTGACTCCTCAGCAGCAAGTAATCAACAGCAGCTTTTCTGTACCTTGCTTGTGGGACTTTTTTCTTGTAGCTTTATACATGTAAGTCTTATTTAGCTCACCAAAATAAGTTCCAAGTGGGAAGAGGTGGTATCTTTATTTTATATCTTATAAGTTAGATGGGAGAAAGCAGTCTGAAGCCACATTGGAACTCGAGTTCCTGACCTTGGCAAGGAGACCCTTTCAGGCCTGGTTTTCTCATTTGTTTCTTGTTTTAGCTTGGTGTGACCTACGAATAATATCCCTCTTTCCATGTGACAGCGAGGGGCAATCAGATTAAACACAAACACCCCTCACCATAATGCCTGGGCAGAGAAAACCTTCCACTGTTCACCCCATTTTATCCTGGGAACCTCAAATGGGCCCTTCATGGTGCATGTCAACATTTCTGCACTCCTTGTCATTCATTTTTCAATCTACTGTGTAAGGCCTCCCTCTTTCTCCTTAAACCCTGCCACATTTCCCAGCTGATTAATTTGCTTTCTGCACCAAGAAAACAGCATTACTAGAAGAGAACAGGACATGTTCATCCACCATCACACCTCCCTCCCACCTTCTCTTCCTCCCAGCTGTTCTGCCTTACCTTCTGCTCCCCTCTCTCCGACCAGCTCCTCTGCTCCAGCAGCACGATCCTGTTCCCTTAGTGCACCCAGAGGTTGCTCGAGCAATTCTGCTCCCTTTCCTGCCTCACTTTTCTGTTCCTGCTAGATCATTCGCATTTGCATGCAGGGAGCTTCTATTTATCCATTCCTAAAAATATTTCCCCAGACTTCATCCTACCCTTACTTCTAACTCTTGCTATCATTCTTTCTTATCTCATGATCTCTATAGGAAAATGCCTAGAGAGAGCTATCTGCTTTTGGTATGTGAGACTTCTTTCCTTTCATTCTCTGTTAAGCTCATTCTAGCCAGGCTTCCACCTCCTTACTTTCCACCAAAGCTCAAGTTCACCAGCAAATCTTGTGCTAAGTTCCAATGGTCAGTCCTCACTATTCGCCTTTTTAACCTAAAACAGCACTGCATAGAGTTGGTCACTCTCTTCTCACTGACCTTTCTGTACCTGACTTCTCGAGCACCGTACGGTAGGGCTTTTGTCTTGCATAAAACCAGTTTCTTTGGTCTTCTGTTGGCCCCTTCTTTCACCACCTTATTCAGTCTCACTGATATATAAATGCAGATAGTGACAAGGTCCAAATTGGGATCTCCAGCCTGGACATACTGCTTCAAGTACAGACTTGTCCTTCTTGACACTTCTTGCCTTCTTGACACTTCTATTTGGATGTGTACTAGAAACCTTACGCTCAACAGCTTCAAGTGGAACTCCTGAATTCTCTTCCCATACTTGTTCCTCACCTCTTAATTAATACCAATTCCATCCTTTTATCTTCTTAGGTCAAAAAATATCATTGCCACCTCTTTGTCCCTTTCATACTGTGAAACTGTCAGCAGTTTCTAATGTCACTATCTTAAAAATGCATGTAGACTTTGACTTATTCTCTCAAGCTTGGTGGTATCCACTCACAATTTCTTGCCTGAGTTACTGTAAAGCCTCTTCACTGTTTAAAGTCTTCCCACTTGGCCTCCTATAACCTCCCTCCCTTCCTCTGTCTCTGTCTCTGTCTGTCTGTCTGTCTGTCTCTCTCTCTCTCTCTCTATCTATCTATCTATCTATCTATCTCTGGTCCGGGGAATCATCAAACTCAGGACCTTGCACTTGCCAAACTGGCGCTATGCCACTGAGCTATATCCCCAGTCCTTCTCTCCTTTTTTTTTTTTTTTTTTTTAAACACAGCAGTTAAGGTGATTATGTAGTTCATTTACTTAAAACTCCAGTGCTTCCCATCTCAGACTAACAGCTCACTACAATGACCTGATTCTCCTCTCCCCTGCTTCTTATCTCTCATGACCTCCACCACTCTTACCCTTGGTCCACTGGCTCTAGACCAACCTGGACACTTGCTGTGCTTCCAGCATAGCAGGAATGCACCTCCTTACAGCCTTTCTACTACTGGTTTTTGCCTGTGTTCTTTTTCTGTGAGGCCACACAACTGGCTGATTTCTTCCCTCTAGCGTTTGTCAAATGCCCTTTTCTAGGTGAGGACTTCCCTTGCAACCACCCTGTTCTTGCCATCCCTGTTGCCTGCTTCAATTCTCTTTATCTTTTTATTTTTTCTTAACCATTTTGCTATTTAGTATATTTATTGGATGGATTAATGTAGTTTAAAGAAAACTAGGAACATAATTTGTTATAATACAGTAGGTAAATTAACAATGCTAACACATGTGGGATAGTCAAAACCATAAATACTTAGTACTATACTTAAAATGAAAGGCAACCTTGATATATAAATTAATAAAAATTTTTAATTTCATACCAGTTTGTTTTCAGATCAGCTCGCTGGGTTGTATGGATCAACAGAGTATACTTCTCGTGTTTCTAAATGAAGATCTTCTTTAGGCTTTGAATTTGTGTAATAATGACTACATCAAAGAAATAAGAAAAATAAATTATTTTTTACAACATAAAGTTGTGTAGTTGTTTGCTCCCCATAATTCCCAAAACATGGTAAATGTTTTTCACAGACAATTTCATTTTATTGTCTTGACTATCATGATGACACAATTTTTGGGGGGAAGTTAAAAAAACACCCAAATCAGTCATCTGTGTTTCTATGTAGAAACAGCTATGTAAAAACAAAACACTTGATGCTTTTATAAATGTTCAAGTCAGAAGCTGACCCTGCACAGCTTTACCCCATATCTAGGACTCTTAATGACTAACACTCATGACTCTAAAATTGAAGAGATAAATTGAAAAACCTTTATTTTATCATATGATCAGAACTTTAGCACTGTGGGACACATAATTTTCCATTCCAACTTAAAAGAAAGCTTGACTCAAAATCTTTATATATTCACACAACAGTACAAATTTTAAACAGTTTTGTAGATTTCAAGAGAATATTTTTAATTTTATTTTTTGAAAGTACATATACTTTATATGTGTGTGTGTGTGTGTGCGCGCGCGCGTGTGTGTATGTTTATTTCTGGGGATGGAACCAAAGGCTTCACTCATGCTAGGCAAGTGCTGGATCACTGAGCTATCTCTGCAGCACTAATGTGCTTTGAAAGTCCCTTTATTGGAATTAGTGAATGACAATAAAATGTGATTACACTGTCATTGTCAGCTTTGAAACAAATTACTGGAGAAGATTATTATTAAGGTTAGTTACAACTTGTCACTCACTCCCATATTTAAGAGGGCAGCTCATAGGCGATACATGGAAAGTATTATTTAATTGCAATTTTTAGGCCAATGAGAGATTTAGATAGTTAAAATATCTTAGATGATAGAGAAGTATAGGATAGTCTTTTTGAAATATATGGATGACTGTTCATATATTCAATTGTTCGATTTTGCCAATAGATGTTGCTTTTTTGATGAGTTATTTCTTATCTCATTTACCAAAAACTATTCAGAGAAACTCATATGTCTGTATCAATTATTAGAAAATAAATTTAAGTAGGTTAAAAATGGAAATAAAGCCAGTGAGTGACACTTAAGAATTTAGTTTGACATATCTATTGGGGTCATACCAATTAAGACATTTAAATATAGTATATGATATAACATGCTAATAAGGAGATTAGAACATTGAATTATTTTAACTTCTAGTTATTCCCCAAGTTTGCAAATTTTCCTACACATGCAGGGCTCTGATGATACTTTTAGTAGTGTGAAGGAAAGAGATAGAGACCACATTTCCTATTTATTTAAATTTTTCACTACTCTTAGCTAAAATTATCTTTTAACTTCCTATGAGGAAAGCTATGCAAATGACAGGTCTATATATCTATATGTACTTATTTTTTGAGAGCATTTTCTCTCTTGAATATATAGGAGGCATTCAGCACTTACTGTATAAGAACAAAATGAAGGGACATGGTCATTATCTCTCCTCATATCCTTTCTAGTTCTGTAACATTCTTGGTCAAATTTTAAAAAGCCACGTATGCATATGCTAGATAACAACAACATACAGAAGTGTCTATAGCAAATAGTTGACATTCATTAACACTGTAGGCAATGAAATGAGACAACAATAAATAAGTAAATAAAAATGTACAGGAAAGTATGAGAAAATAATAATTTGTAGAAAGTATATATATTTTGTAGGTGTTGTACTGGGAATTGAACCAGTCCTCATGCTTGCTAGGCAAGTGCTCTACCACTGAGCTACATCCTCAGCTCTCTTTTTATTTTATTTTTGTTTGCTAAGTTGCCTAAGCTGGCCTTGAATTTGTGGTTCTCCTAGCTCAGCCTCTGAGTAGCTGGGATTATATGCATGTGCTTCTGTGGCTGGCTGAAAATACAGTTTTTTACTGAGACAACTAGATAACTCAAAAAAATTATTAGAATAAGACAGTGTATAATAAACTTTCCTAGATGTCATTTAAAGTTAATTATAAGATGTAGCCCAAAATATTACAAACCAATGAGACAGGCATGTTTTTCTTAAAACAGGCTTTGCAACAGTTGACTAGATAGAAAAAAGTGCCAGTGAATTATATTGACCATTATCACAAAATAAATTCCAGATTCAAATGATAAAAAACTTAATAGTAAAATGTAAAAGTCTGTCTAATTTCAGGACAAAAAATTATAACAAAAATAGAAACTTAATAATATATTTATTTAGACAATCATGAAAATAGCTGAGTGAAAGAATCACAAGTTCAAGGCCAGTCTAGGCAACTTAGCAAATAAAAATAAAATGAGAGCTGAGGATGTAGCTCAGTGGTAGAGCACGTGCCTAGCAGGCATGAGGATGGGTTCAATTCCCAGCACAAAACCTACAAAATATGTATACTTTCTACAAATTTATTTACTTGAATAAATGAAAAGGCCTAGGATATTTCTGAAAGGAACACATCACAGAAAAGATGCCATTCTCAGAAACCAACCTACAGACCTAAATGCAATCACAACATGTTTGCTCTCAGAAAGATGACAAATGATTCAAAAAGCACCTGTAAGAAAAACCAGGAAATAGAAAGTCCTGAAAAATTATATGGAGGGGTTTGCCTCATTAGATATTATAGTTGTATAAATCCATCTTAATGAAACACACAGTGGTTTGTGATGAAATAACAGATCAGTGAAGGAGCAAAAGGGATCAAGAAACACAAGATATTCAGTTAAATTAATTACTTTGATATACGATCAAGTTAGAACAAATTTTCTGAAATGCCAATAGGCAATATTTATTAAGTACATTAAATGTTCGCGGGCTTTTCCCTAGTAATTCTGAAATATATCTTAAGGATATAAGTAGATATGGAACTAGGTCTATCAAAAAACATTCTTTGTATCTTTATTTACTATCAAGACAATTGTGGAAGCAACCTAAATTTTCTGCAACACAGAAAGAGTTATTAAATATAAATCATTTGTAGATACAAAAACATGTACATTAGTCTAAATGAAAAGTAACTCACGATGAAAAATTATACCTCCAAAATTTCACCTCATAAAGAAAAAAGAATACAGAATATAAGAGAAGTGTTATATAGGAATATATGTGGAGTTGTCTGGAGTTGTCACCATGAGGCTTTTTAGTGTGGTTTTTCTTTTTATTTCCTATATTGTTTCATTTTGTTTTATAATGTACTACCTGAATAAACAATCATTAGACAAAATAAGGTACACATTTATATCTTTTAAGTCCTTACAAGAGGTTTCCCTCCCAATTGTCTTGATATAAAGCATATCACAAGATGCTTTATACCAATTAGCACATCGCAGTATTCATTTAATACAACTTCTGCTTATGTGTTTAGAAGAAGCCAACGCTTACTGAATCTTTTGGCTAAGTGTTTGGACTTACCGTGCTCTGAGTTTTGATATCATGCATAAGGTGGCAATAACCAACAAGAGAAGAAGTCCTGGGCCTAGAAAAATACCTGCAGGAGGGGGAGAGTGAATATCAAATGCTAAAAAGAAATGTATTATGAACTGATAATGGGGCCTACTGGTACCAAATGTTTACATGACTATTACACTTAACTCTTCTCAATTATAAATTCTAAATTCTTGAATGGCCATAATTGGGCTTAAGGTTTTCCTGATTGGAGTCAGTCTGCATTTTAGTACAGCACCACTCACATGAGCACGGGGTTCTAGTCCTTTTTCTGTGACTTTTCCTGTTCCTTTCAATTTTGTTAGTGACATTCTTGTCACTGTGTTGAAATTAGGAGCAGAGGATACCAGGATCTCATGTTTCTGCCTAACAACATTGGATTCTCGGTTGGAAAATACATTTCATTACAGCAGAATTTTAAAAAACCTATTGCAATAGTACCAAATCATGCAAAACACCAAGAGTTAATAAACTGAAGCTCTATTAAAAATTAAGAGTAGTTGGCTGTTTAAATATTTATCTAATTCTATCCCAAAGGATAGATAATTCTATCCCAAATTTTGTAATGTGGTATGTATGTTAAAATATCTTTAAAACATAAAGGAAGATGATAGCTATTGAGTTAAAATGAAAAAATATTAATAGGTAGGGTATAGAATATAGACATATGTATGTATAAAACATCATAAGAGGTTTTCCTCAAGAATGTAAAGAAACTTACCATAAAGAAAGGGATCAGATGAACCTAAGTAAAATACAAAGCAATGAAAATGTCAGTCTAGTAGCACAAGTCAGTGTGCCCCAAGTCCCATCATCCTCTGGTGTTGCCCCAGAAGTCAACACTCAGCCCCCTTTCAGGTCTATTTATGATGTAATTGGTCCCTGAGTTGTAGCTATTCTTTTATATATAAAGCCTCACTGTATTTTCTTTTCACTTGAATTAGGTAGGCTGGGGGAGGTTGCCAATAAAGAGAAAGAAGGATGTACTTGGCTTTATAATCCATGATTCCCCAGGATACAGTGCAAATTTTAATTGTTATCACAAGTGAGTTAACATGTTTGGAGCTCCTACTGAATTAATAAGCACTTTGAAATCAAGATTCAGCAAGCAGGGAGTCTCAGGTGCGAGTCCTCTCTAAATGAAAGGCTGTTAGTTTTGCATTTTTGCTCCTATTAAGTTAACGTTCTCCTCTTTTTATTATCTTTTATTTAGTTCCCCCATCCTCAGGAAGGTGTGCTTTTTCTAGAGGGGACCAGCAGTTTCAAATTCATCTGTTAGTGCGCCTGGTCACAGATCTATGTCACCTGGAAGCCTGCTGAGGGAGATCTCCTGCTGGCCAATCTCCATGCTAAATGCAAGCAGCAGTGACGCCTCGGCACTTACGGGATCTGCAGATGGCCAGAGGAGGGTCCCACTGCTGGTCGCCCTGGCACTGGCTCTGTGGACTGCCCTCCAGCATGTACCCATCTTCACACTCCATGGTTACAATGGAGCCGTACTGGTACATCTTCTCAGCCTCCAGCCCCCTCTGGATCCCATTTGTGTTCTCAGGGAAGCTGCAGTTTACCTCTGCAGGGAGAGGAATCCAAAGGAAGCAGAGTCATACTTTGTCCTTGTAGCAAGAAAATAGAAACTGCCCTTAAGGAAACATTCACAAAACCAATTTAATTCATTCTCAGTAAGCAGAGCATCAGCGAAATAATGTCCTAAGCACAGCCTTTGTGGTGTCAGCATTCTCTCTTAATAACTCCTGGGTGATTTCAGCCGAATTGCTTTCTTTCCGCTTCTATGCTTTACTAATAGCAGTAGATGATCCTAATCACCTCTGGGAGAAATGGAGAGAGTTGAAGGAGTCATACTGAATATTCCAAGTTACTATCTTTTTCTGGGTCTTGTCTACTCTCTAATTCTTTACCATGCGAGTGCTTCCTCATTCCTTCCTTCATCTTTTCAGTGTAGGCATCCAGAGTGTGAGATCTTGGATTTGATCCCCACTCTTTTTCTTCCTAGCTCTGTGACTGTGGGTTAGTTACAAGTCACTAGAACCTCATCTAGACCACAGGGATGGCAACAGCAGCACCCTGCTATGGATCCTGCCAAGACTAAAGGAGACGATATGTGTACAGGGCTATACACAGGATCTGGCATATGTTAAGAAGTGCTCAGTAATATTAGGTATGAAGTTATTACTCATTTCATACATTGTTTATGATCATGACTTTTTGAAACTTTTATAAAAATGTATGCATAATCCCATCACCATACACAGGAAATAGACTCAAAAGACCATTCTGCTCTTTTTGGTATTTTATCAAATGCACGCTTATCATTAACTGCAACCACAAGAAAAACACAAACTGTGCTTTAATTTATGAAAGCACTTCAACTTTCTATATCCAGTCAACTGTATAAGTGGTCATTTGCTAGTCAGACTACAGCCTAGGCCATTTTTCTTATTTTGAGAACCTTATATTAAGTAATACATTAATCGAATCAAATGCATTTAACTAAATATTCCTGTTAATGCCTTTCTTTGGCTATTTTAAGTTGAACGTACATAACTGTGAACACATCTATTTGGAACAGACTGATTTACTAAGAAGAACAATAAGAGATAATGCAGACCACGCACCTTTACAGTAGGGGGCCTCTGGGCTCCAGACCCCCTCATGTGTGCACAGCAGGAGGGGCTCCCCCACCAGCACATAGCCTGGGTCACAGGTGTACAGCACTGACATTCCAGGGGAAAACTGAGCTACGTTTCCACCAGTATGGTTCCCATTGAAGATGGCATGTGGAGGCGGACACTCTACAAAAGCTTAGAGACCGGTAAGAAAGGAACTTTAATGCAGTGCAGAAGAACATCTAGATGACAGCATTTCTGTGTGATAGCGACACAGACAGGCAATGGGTGATACATTAGCCAATTAACTGGTAACCAGAAACCTTCATCCCAACTGGACCAAGCGATGCTGGGAAGACATGCATTTTATACCTACATCATACCTGATCTGAGGAAATGCACCAAGTGGAAGGTACTGAAACATCAGTGGCTGTGGTCCACAACTATAATCTGTCAGCCAAAAGTATTCTTATTTTCCCTTTAAATAGTAAACAGACTGTAGCCTAAGCAGCACACATTCAAGTGGAACCAGGAAGTGAAGCCTCCAGATGTGACAAACTAGAAAGTCGCTGTTCTCCTCAAAGTGGCAACCACTGCAGACCTCGCATTTGCAGTTTCATTGTTTATCTTGGGCTATGGGGATGGATTTGCCCTAAAATAAGAACACTTTGCTGGCCAAAGAGAACTATTCTGGGGAGATGAGTTCCACTGGGTCACAGGTTGGAAGATGGTGGTGGAGGTAATTACTGAAAGGAATGAAACTGCCAACTGGCAACTAAGACAGAAAAGGAAGCTCAGTGGATTTGAAGGCTTGCTCCATTCCCCTCAACACCAAAATTACCCTCTGCCTGGTGCTGTAGCCTTCTGTACTGAATTCTCAGTAATATTACTGCCAAACATTGGCACAAACATTCTGTGCATTTTTCCTTTTCTAAATTCATAGGAAAAATATATTTGGAGACTCAATCATTTTGGAAGTTCAACATTGTTCTTTTGTGTACTATGGCTCAGTGTACACACCGAGAAATGAAAAGAGAACTGGGTGAGAAGATATGGCAAAGAGCTTACAAGACAATGACTATGGAAGCTTTCAAATGCTTTTCTTCAGGTGGAATGGCAAGTGCACGTTCAAAAACCTTTATTTTCTACAACATGCCATATTTTATCCCATAAAGTATCTTACCCTTTCGGATACAGGTCGGTATGCTTGGTACCCATGTGTTATCTGTATGGCACCTTATCAAGTGGTTGCCTTTCATGATGAAGCCAGGATTGCAAGCAACATACACTATGTCATTGTGAGAATATGCAGAATGAGTTTTGTTGAGTGGGTATCCATGTTTGATTTCTGGATCAGGGCAGTGAGTCACAGGAGGTGATTGCAGGCACTGTGGGGGAGGCCCGCTCCAAGATCCACGTCCTTCAGAATTACTTCTGCACTTTAAACTTTTCTCTCCCGAAAGATAGAATCCTGGGTCACATTTATAAGAGACTTCATTTCCATATAGAAACTGTTTTGCCATCGTGCCTGTGGGTCTCCCATTGGCAATCAGTGGTGGAGGCTGACAGTGAATAGCTGCAGAGAAATTTAGGGAATTCAGCTTCAGTGAGTACATCACAGTGGACGGTCGTCCCTCAAGATATAGATGACACTAAGCAACTGCATTGCACTTCACATAACTAGTTACTTAAACTTTGGAACCTGCATTATGCTTTTTGTTAAACAACTTCATGTATGAGTAATATAAGCACAAAAAATTCAGAAAACACAATAAAATATAAGAAGAAATACATCTATGTTTCCATGATCTAAAATTATAGGTTATTTTTAGGTTTAGCAAAATTAGCAGGCATCTGGCAACTACTCGATTACCACCTCACAATTGTTTCTAGTATTGGTCAAACACTGACACATTTTCCATCATCTTACGTTCACTAAGGAGAAGCATAAACTACTGAGTCAGTTACGCTCTTTAGTGGCCTTCCCTCTCTGACCACATATGTCCACAGCTAGCTCTTTTATTCTCAGTTTACCTTCACAGTGTGGACTCTTTTGAAACCAGATCCCATTCTTGGCATCTTGACACTTCTTATAAGTATATCCACTCAGCTGGTACCTAGACAGGGACAGACAATAATGCAGTAGCTTTTCTTTGCCCAGGATCGCATTTCTGCAGCCTGACCTCTTCAAACTGTAAATACAGTGGCACTTCTAAATGAGAACTTCAGCAGAGAGAAGCAACAACCCTCAAACCTGCAAAACTACTTTAGAGTTACAGACAGTCAGAGCACAGCTCTTCCCATGTCAAAAAAGCATGGGAAAGCCAGAACTGCTGGTTAGGCCATTGGAGCCTCATGTTCTCTGTGGCTGTGACGATGGGGATCTCTGTAGGGATTCAGAGTGGCAGGTTGTGGGTAGAGTTAATGCCTAATACAAGGTGCACCCCTTTCTCAGAATGGACCATCTTGAACTCACCCCTCTCCACAGGATGTGCCCACATGTTCCACGTGGGAGCCAGCTGGAGGCTCTGCGGCAGGCTCACATCCTTCTGGAAGAGCAAAGTTGGGATGAGTTATAGATGCCTCATAGCAAAGAGAATGATAGCTCTGGAACTGAAAGGACTTTTGAACCCTGGAGCAGGACTCCAGTGAAGGCAGAGAGTCAATGTTGCTTCCCACAGCATGTAGCCAGGGTCACAGGTGCTGTCTACAGACTTCCCTGAGACCATGAAGACCACGTTTTTTCCCAGTGCTGACCACAGTGGAACCCACCAAGTGGCAGCCTGAGGAGCAGACATTCCTCATAAACACCAACACAGGGTCATTTCTCAGCCAGAGACAATCTGAAATTTTGTAAGATCAAGGATCAGGAAGCTCTCATTCATTGCAAAATGCTTCTGCTTTTCTGAAAGAACACGGCCCATTTCAAAGGGCTCTCATTTTATGCCCTGAATACATCCCAGTCTAAGGAAGTGTTCACCCAAGAACATGCAGAACTCCCACAGAACATTCTACTACAGCGTGGAAGAACTGCAAAGTAACACACACCCCTTCTTGCCTTTCCCCATGACTCCGGTTCTGAGTGGGAGATGATAAACAAGAATAAGTAAGTAAACACCCTCCCCATTGGGTTTTTACCTTTTGCACAAACTGGAACTTCAGGATCCCAGGTGTTATCAGCTTTGCAACGAATTTGACCACTGCCCTTCAAGATAAATCCACGCTTACACTTAAATGTCACACTGTCATTGTAGGAATATGGGGCTTCTTTCCTGGATATCTTGTACCCATTTTCAATATGGGGATCTGAGCACTGGACATCAGGGAGGGAGAGTTTACAGAGAGGAGCAGGGCCACTCCAGGTGCCTTTCTCTTGATCATTGCTTGTACAATGGATGGTGCGCTCCCCAATGAGGTTGAACTGCACTCCTTCCTCTGGCCCAGGGTTACACGTGTAAAGGACTGTGGTTCCATATGGGACATTTTCTGAGGAACTTCCTGTGTGTGTCCCATCATAGATAACAGGGGGTGGTGGGCAGGTGATTTCTAGAGAGACAGAAAGATGCTATATAAGTCTGTCCCAAACACCAAAGAATAGAAGCCAAGCACAGTATGATCCTTTTGTTTTCAGGAAGGCATGGATGACTTTTCTTTATGTGAGCTATACCAAAGCTTTGCTTTATATATATATATATATATATATATATATAATTAAACTGATTTCACAGAAGAACATCTCTACTAAGTAAAAATACTGATTACTACCTTATGAAGCATTAAGGCTCAGTAGCCATTTGCTAATTAAAGGGAGAACTCTTTTAACTTAGTAAGGGATAAAAGATACAGAGGAGTAAGATTCAGCTTTTCTGAGTACTAACCTTGGGCTGAGATCATATGATCATTTCTATGATTAGTGAAGCCTATTTACTGTTTTTTATTTTATTTTTGTCTTTTTGAGACAGTGTCTCGCTATGCAGTTCAGGCCGGCCTTGAGCTCACTTTGTAGCCCAGGCTGGTCTCGAACTCACATTGATCCTCCTGCCTCAGCCTCCCAAGTGCTGGGATTACAGGCGTGCACCACCACGCCCAGCTAGCCTATTTACTGTTGATTGAGTGCCTACTTCTGGGAAAGGCAGATTCATTATCCGCAAAGTAGTGATAATACAATCTAATTCCAATAATTTTGAAGGCTGTGGTTATATGCCAAGCTTACAGATGGGAGATTAGAATTTCAGAGAAGTTGTACAAATTGCCCAGGGTTGTACAGCTATGAAGCAATAGGAACAGAATCTGAGTTCAGATGCAACAACTATTTCCTAATCTTGTCACTAACACAGTGTTTCCTAGATCATGGATGGTGCTTCACATCCTCATCGCTGTCATTATTCTTGTAATTCTAAATGACAAAAGAGACTCAGTAAGAAAGTACATTTAATTTAACTGATTGAAGTAGGAAAAGGGAACAACAGAAAGATATGGCAAAACTACACAGGGGAGACTACTGACAAAGTTCACAGAATAGAGTGTCGTGTGTGAATTCCCATCGCACGGCCTCAAACAAATCTCCCCAGAAACGTATAGATCTGGCATCATTTCAGATCCTCTGTCATTTTTGCCACTCACCTTCACAGAGACGGAGCTCCATATACCAAGGAACTGTTCCTTGACACAGCTGATAAGCGTTCTCACCTAATCGGTACCTAGAAACAGAGAATCACTTCGTTTGGCCATCTGGCAACACCTACCCCAAGCAAGAACATCCCACTCTAAAGCAGACTCACCACGTTCAGGACAAGAAGCAGCAAGAACAAGAATGTAGCCAGTTTCAGTACCATCCCCCCACTGCACAGTTTCCATCCATGGAAAAACTGGGGCAATTAGCACCCCATAAACACACGGCAGGAATGGAGCTTTGCGATAAACTTACATAAAGCTTGCAGTGTACACAGATAAGCCAGACCTGATTTGGGCTGAGACAGCCTTCACTCACCCTTCACCACAAGTAGAATAAACAGCTGGTCTAATAAATCTATCCTGAGGTTTTCTAAAGAGTTGAGGTCCTAATGGTTTACATTCTGCCGCTAAGAAAAGAGACTAGGATGAGAAACAGCTCCAGACAATCTTAGAACCAGCAAAGCGGTCTGTCTTTGAAGCCTGGTACCTTTGCACTGAGGGAGAGTGTGTGTCCACTTCCCTTCAGGGGTACAATGGATGGATTCTTCTCCCACTAGCTTGTAGCCAGGGTTACAGCTGTAGTTTATAGATGTGCCAGGGGCAAACCGGACCATGTGTCGATCTTCCTTTTGCCCATTGAGGATCTCAGGAGGGGCCTGACAGTCTAGCGCAAAAAAAAAAAAAAAAAAAAAAAAAAAAAAAAAAACAATCTTAAGTAAACAACAACAGAAAGAAACTGACTCCGAGGAGTTGCCATTAATGGTATAATCCCACTCTGGGTGCAGCTGTGCAGCATAGTGGGATCCTGCAGTCCAATTTTGGGGTCGTTTTACATCATTGCTGGTCAGTGTTTTCTTTTCTGCTCTTGGGGTGCTACGGATCTTGTTCAGATCCTGGTCAGTGTAACTTCTCTCTTATCTCTTCCCTTCTTAAGGAATCACCTTGGGTGCTTTTATGGGAGATTTTGATCTACCTTGGGGTGAGGTCCCTTTTAAGAAATTGCTGTAAAAGAAATTGCTGTTCTAAGGCAATCTTAGAACAAGCAAAACCTCTGTCTTTGAGGCCTGGTACCTTTGCTTTGGGGCAGAGGGGGTCCTGCTTCCCCTAAGGGGTGCAATAGATGACTTCTTCTCCCACAAGCAAGTCTTTTGGTCCCACTTTTTCCCCTAAAGATATGCAAAACTTTCCTAAAGAATGCAAAACTTAACAATGTTTAATGTTTTCTCCCCAAGCATATTTCCATAAAATGAAGCAAAGGTGGAAAGGTAAAGAAAACCCTTGCCAGGATTTATGTCCACTATGCTTAATATGGCTGAGGATACAGGAGCTGGAAAAGGCCCTGTTTAAAGCATGCTACCCCTTCCTGTAACTTCTCAGAATGATGCACCCGTAGCACTGTGGAGCACTGGATACTTACCCTTCTCACAGACTGGTACTGATGGCTCCCATGTGCCCTGGGCACTGCATCTGATTCTCCTGCTGCCCTTCAAGGTGAAGCCAGACTCACAAGTAAATGCCACAGTGTCATTATAGGAATATTCATCTTTCTGTGCAGATAACATTTGACCTCTTAGGATCTGGGGATGAGGACACTGACGTGCAGGAGTAGAAAGTCTGCATTGTGGGGAAGGGCCACTCCAGATCCCCCTGTTCTGACTGTCCATGGTGCAATGGATAGTTTTCTTCCCAATAAGGATGAAGGTCACTCCTTCCTCTGGGTCTGGGTCACAAGTGTAAGTTACGGTGCTTCCATATGAAACATTGGTTGAAGAGCTGACTCTTCCATTGAGAATAGGAGAAGGTGGTGGGCAAAGAATTGCTAGAGAAATTAAGAGACAAGAAAGGTCACAGACATGCTGCAAGTGAGGGTGCCTCAGGGCTGACTGAGACTACTGTCACATCCTAGGTTCAAGACAATCACATTTTATCGTGTCAATCACGGCAGCTAATGAAATATAACTTAACAGTGTGCTTTTAAAACTTGACTAGTGAATGCATCTGCTCTGTTGATCCTTTGATTCCTATTGACAAATAAATAATTTCTTTTTTGTATGTGGCCTGGCTATGTATTTAATAAGTCTGTGTAGTTTTCAGAGAAGGAAAAGCCTGGAACCATATTTGATTTGAGGAAGCAGAAAATAAAGAGGCAATTGAAGATGGCTTCAGTGAAGAACATATCACTTGAGCTCTCCAGGGGCTCTTTGCTTTGGAAGAGTCTGTATGTTAATAATGAACCAACATTATTTAATGAAGCTGAGAATGCAGGGTTCTGGGGAACCTTGGTGGTTCTGTACAAACTACATTTGTCTCACCTACCTTCACATACTGGCTTCTTGGTCCAAGTCGCTCTCTGTTCGGCAATCACACACTGACTAGAGGGGTAGCCTTGTAATCTGTACCTGGAGACAGGGGGTTGTCCTTTGGAATTATTATCCAGTTTGTGCTGGAGAACAACAACTTCTACCTAAAAGCTAAGGCAAGTTCACACAATGTGTGTGCCCCTGATCTCTTTATAAGCAGCCTCCCTCATATCCCCTCACTCAAGCTGCCCCTGGATCCTCACCCAGGTACATCCTGCAGCTTTCACAGTCACACCAGGCACAGATAATCCCAATGCATTAGATCTCACAGACCTTGCTAACACTTACCCTACATTACAAGAAAAGTTAACAGTTACGCCAGCCTGAAGACTTGGGGGTGCAGTAACCTGCCCATTGGGAAATTGTCCTATAGGATCACACCTTGCCTCTAAAAAAACAAACCAAACATAAGCAAGAATGGAAGCTAGCAGAACAACCCAGTTTCTTAAAATTGGTTATAAGTTTAGGATACCTTTGCACACAGGAAAAGCAGCATTCCAGTTGCCTGAAGATAAGCACTTAATCGTCTTTTGTCCTTGGAGCAAGTAACCGGCTTTACAGCCATAAGCCACTGAGAATCCTGGGGCAAAGTGGTCAATATTTTTCCCTGTGTGATATCCATTGGAAATCTGGGGAAGCTGTGGACACTCCAGAGGGAAATCTTTACAAACACAATTAGGAAAACAAAACATCAGACGTTGTATCTTTTACAATCTAGATGTTGACTTAGAACATAGTACTTAGTACAAGTAGTTAGTATAAGTAACTTTCAGTTTAGCCTCTGAAGGATCAAATGGATGTGATTTAACTGTGCCATTTTATGCCATTTTATGCATTACAGTATACTGCTGCGAAGTCATAGTTCAGAGTCATTTGTAGATTTTTCCTTGAACCTAACCAATAACTTTGCAGAAACCCCTGCAGTTTTGTGGAAATCATAAATTTCTCTGCAATTGTTTATTTCAGTGGGAAGTTTGCAAGTAGCCAATCCGAGAGCATTATTCAGTTCTCCTTGTTCTTGATTGGCTGCTGCCCTGTAATCATCCAGGGTAGATGCACCAGCATTCCACATCATAACAGGTTGCTGTACCATGTGTAGCTATCGCGAGTGTTCTCGGTTTTGTTCTTCTCAGAACGCTAAGGTCCCTAAGATGCTGCCAAAATGCCCTGCCCCTTCTAATTATTAATTATCTATTTATTAATACAGCATTTCACTAATTAAATCACATCATTAAGGGAGAACATAGCATATTTAAGGTTTAAAGTATAAAAATCGGCATTTATAGGCATTTTTCTGACCATATCTGAAATTTGTGTTTTTCCCACAATTTGCAGGTGCTCTAGGAACATAACCCCCACCACTGTATTTCTCAAATTGAATTACACTATAAGAGTGACTTTTGCCTTGAGAAAAATTTCAAAAATTAGTTGCCAAAAATAGTCAATTTTTACCCCATCTGTAAGTCTGTTCTCTGTTCCATAGGTAGTACATATCCTTTAGAGGCTTATCCTATTATACATTAATAATATAATTTATTGGCTCCCTATATATGACACACATAAACACTCATACAGTATAGTGTATGTGTCCCATACACATTACTGTGTGTTTTGCTTCCTTTACTTAGTAATATAGTATATCTATATTGTTCATGTCAATGCATGTAGGTCTAAGTCATTAAAAAGGCTCACTTGTGTTCCACAGCAAATCCATTCTGGGACTATTTTAAACTCTCCTTCCTCCAAGACTAACTATTCTTCCCTTGATTGATCAATTTTAAAACAATTTCAAGTTTTCTCATTTTTTAACCCATTGAGAATTTATCAGTATTATTCTTTATTAAGGGAATAAATATCTAATTTTGATAGTATTTTTGTAGAATATTGCTAATCTTTGAAATTTTGGAATTTTACTTGGATTCAGATCTCATTATCAATACAAACTGAACCAGGTGAGAAGAAAGGAAGACTTTACAGTTGTCTTATTTTCAAAGTCATTTCCTATGTGATAGCTCAAGCGATGACTTGGGGAAAGAGTGAGTCATTTCAGAACTCCCCTGCCAAGGCCGCAGAGAACAGAGAATCACCTGAACCAGCCTAAATGAATAGCTATTCCTTGTTGAGTTTTACATGCATTGGGAGTATTTTGCTGTTAAATCCCACATTTCTTCTTATTTTTGCAATAACCCAGATATACACGTTGAAACCATCCAATTCCCAGAGCCCCAATAAATTCTGGCCCTTATCTTTGGGAGACTTTTCCCATTCAATTTTTAGATGTGTTCAACTAAGTTTTCCTATAATACTTTAAACTCCTTTGCTCAGTTGATGTTTTTCAAGAGGATAGTTAAAATTCTCAACTAAGAAAGGAAGGAAACAAATTTTCACCTTTTGTCTTGTTTCCTGCCTCCAGTCCTGCCTTTCACATATCCATACTGTTCTTCCTTCAGGAGGATATAAAGCATCATCTGGGTAGAAATGCAAGGCCCAGCCCCTCAACTAGGTCTTCTTCTCATACTTACCACTCTCACAGACTGGCAATGGTGTTGGCCCCCAGGTTGAATTTGCTTGGCACCAAACAGATTGATTTCCTTTCATGGTGAAGTTGGTTTGACAGGTAAATGTCACAGAATCACCATGTTTGTATGGTGGTCTTCCTCGACTTCTGTATCCCCCTGGTACTTCTGGCTCAGAGCAAAAAGTATTTCTATTGTAATATTCACATCTAGGAGGAGCTTTATCCCAGACTGCACTCTCTTGGTCTTTACTTATACAATGAATAAATTTTTCTCCAATGAGGCGGAAGCCAGTGTTGCAAGTATACGTTATTACAGTTTTAAGATTTATGGGTCCATAATGGTTACTCTTCCGGCCATATTTGATAGAAGGAGGAGGATCACAAAAAATTCCTGAAAAGTAGGGAAAAAAAATCCTATGTGTGCATATTGGTCATGACAATAAGAAGATTAAAATTTAAATAAAAGATCTGAATACAGATCACATCACTTTCTCAGAAGCAGACTTAGAAATATACATGATTTATTTCTTATCATCTCTGTTTATTCCTAAGATTCTAACTTCTTACCTCTTTTGGTCTTCAGCAAACAAATCAATATAAACCATCTTAAACAATAACAGGACACAGAATTTATCCAAAAGTTCTGTCTAATTAATTTTAATACACAAAAGGCAAAGTTAGCACAGGAAGAGAACACATTAATGATATGCTAGTTACACTTGGGCATTCTCAGTTTATGACATTTGGGTGCAGCAGACCTGATTCCAAATCCCCACTGTCACTCATAGCTGTGTGACTTTAGGCAACTTATATCATCTCTAAGCCTAGGTTTCCTGGTCTATACATGAAAGCCACTTTATAAGGTATGATGAGAATCCAATGGGACAAAAGTAAGAACAATACATATGAAAGAAGAACAATTCATGGAAACTATTAATTTTTCAGTCTGTTTCAAACACACAGGGAGCAGGACCAAGCTTTGTCTGGCCACTGAAGATACTACAGCCTCACAGACCATTTGTTACCCTTCATTACTGGGTTCCTGTGAGACAGCCACAGGAAGTGAATATAAGTTTTGAACAATGAACTCCCATCCTTGATTTAAATGTCCTGGGGTGGGCATGAAGGATATTAGTTGTTAATCTCTATTTTGGTACAAGCACACTATTTCTGGAAAAGTCTCAGAAGAGAGGGAAAATAGCCAATATCTTTCTAGTTCATTTCTGCTTGGCTCCAAGAGGAGCCCTTCAGTAGAAGGACCTGACACAAAAGGTCACAGCTCAAACATTTCAGCACATCAGTGGTATGCTTGGTTTCGGTATAGGTAAATTTTTCAAGAGCCTTTGTCTTTACATATATGGAATCCACAGTACAATATGCAATAAATGTAACATTTTAAATCTGAATTCTGAAACATAGAGTGGCAAAATAAATTCTAAGTACACATATAGATAAGATATTAGGGTCAAAATGTACAGAAACACAAAATCAAAAGGTAAGATCTGTTTTTGATTATTTTTGTTTTCTACTCACATCCATAGACAGGAAATTTATTATTCCAGAATACTGTCCTTCCTTCTGGGACACACTGACTAGATAATTTGCCACTTAACCAGAACTTTAAACAATAAAGGGTACTAAATCATGCACAGAAGCAACCAGCTCTCAGTTCCATGGAATTAATCACTTCTCTCAGGTATTAATAGGACCTACATGTTAAAGCATTTCTAGCTTAAGGAAAAGTCTGAGGTTAGGACATTGCTTGACTGTATAATGAATTCAGAGTAGGTAAAAACAGAGAAGCAAATTCTGAGAATAATTTTCCTTTTTAAAAATTCTCACTCTCCTCTTTGCCATCCAAATATTAAAATTCTCTTGACCATCTTGAAGAAAGAAAAACTCAGACCCTAAAGAAGAAAATATATCAAAGTTCTTGCTTCCCAAGTTCATTCCCAAGGAGCCTTTCTTACTACACCGAAATCATCTGTTCATTTTCCATTACAGGTACCTTAACTTCTGAACCCAAAGTTTGCTTTTTCAAAGGATGAAAGAACAATTCCCAGTTCAGCTGGCCATGCACAGTATACATACTTTGAGAAAGTAAAAAAGGATTTGGTTGATTGTTGGAGACAACTACAAAGTGGCTCTGAGCAGGATTTAATATTAACCAATTGGCTTTCTGTGTTTACTTGTGAGTTGTCTGAAGGCCACAGCTGAGGATGTCTGGCTCCAACCCCAATTAACTTAAAGGAGACTGTAGTTGCAGGTATCTCACTCCTGCTGTGAAGAACTTCCTGGAGATAACATAGTTCTCCTAAATTAACATAACACTTGGAAAAGTCCTACCCAGATTCCCATGTTTTCTTGAGTATCCTTCTCCTTTGTTTGTGGGCCGCCCAGAGAAGTCTTTGGCTAAACTCAGGGAATATTAAAGTTGTAAGAGAGTTAGTCCTTCCTGGAGCCCTAAAATCATTGCCATTGTCTCATTTATTCAAGCCTTCTCCGTCCACTCACTTGGGAGATTGCAGGCCTGATCAGCCTGCAATAACTTAGTGTTATTTAACCCGGTTTTTGATAATTAATGTCAGAGTTCTTTGTTGTAAAGGGCAGAGGAAACAATCAGAAAGAGAAACAGGTGAACTATCTTGAGTGTGCATGCTCCGCCATGCTGAGCTGTGGGCAGTGTCCGTGCAGAGCTTCTCATGTCACTCTTACCCTTGATCACAAAGGAAACCTATCCCCTAAACTGGAGATTAGGAAGAGGAACCATGTGGCCAGTGAGAAGTTGCTTTGGAACGGCATCGCATGATTTTACTAGGAAAAATGACAAGGCTGGGATGCAAGAGTCAGGAAGGGGCTGAGTTTCCTTTAGCTGGACTGGAGCTTTAGGCACCTGCACACCCGGGGGCTGCACGCCTCCAGGTTCCCAAGAATGTACAGTCACAAGTTTAGTCCTACCAAGAGTGTAGCCAGGCTCACAGCTGGAGGACAGTCCAGCTGGAAAGAATCCCTTATCTCTTCTGTTGTAGTTACTGTGGCGGATATGTGGAGGTGGTAGACATTCTGAGAAAAGCACAGGACTGGAGGCCTTTTCTGAAATAAGAACTTTCTTGTGTATAACTTACAGCTAGTCTGGGGCTGGTCAGGGTGGGATGAGGTCTTCAAGAGATTGTGGTAACGGCATCACTCTTTTCAGATGTGGTGAAACATTCCACATCATTTTCATTTTATTCAGCTGAAGGGTCTTCCACACCTTACACAAATAGTGTTGTCAAAGAACCTAACTTTTCTTATACATTTTCAATACCAAAATCTAGTTCTTTCTTTCTGCTCCCCAAACAATGTATTTGAACTTTTTGAAATGGGTTTGCATATTGCCAGGATTTTGAGAAAGCCAAATACCTCACAGTAAAGGTATGGGAGAAGAGGAGAATGGAGGGCACAGACTCAATCTGACCACTGTCTGTCTTCCATAAAAGTCACATTTTTCAGTATAAAAATGTATGTTGTCCATAGTAGTCTGAATCAAATTCTGATCTCAGCCAATTCCCCCAATGACATGGCCAACAGGATTGAGAGTTCATTTTAACCTCAATTAAATAAAATCTAATGATACATATACTCATATATAAGTAGAGATATAAAAAAATCTCTTCATTATTGAATTTGGAACTATTTGCTTTCAAAACTTACTTATTTTTAATTGACAAAATTGTACATATTTATGGGATAGCATTAATACATCATGTAATATTGAAATCAGGGTAAATACATCTATCTTCTTAAACACTTCTCATATCTTTAGTAGCTTTTTTGGAAAGACACAGTACATTATCATTGTGTATAGGCAGCCTATTGTGAACAGAACACCAAAACTTACTCCTCCCAGCTATAACTTAGTACCGGTTGACCAACCTCGCCCTAACTCTGTCTTCCTCTTCCTCTCCCAGCTTCTGGTAAACACTATTTTACTCTCAACTTCTTTGAGATAAACTTTCACAGATTCCACATATAAGTGAGATCATGATATTTGTCTTTCTGTGCCTGATTTATTTCACTTAACATAATGCTTGTGAGTTTTATCGAGGTTCTGACAAATAATGAGTTTTCATCCCCTTTTATGGCTGAGTGGTTTTCCATCCTGGATGTAGAGCACATTTTTATTCATGCAGTTGATGGACAGGTTGTTAGCATTTCATGGCTATTGTGAACACAGCTGTACTAAACATGGAATGACAGAAGTCTCTTCAATAGACTGATTTCATTTTCTTGGGATACATAGGGTCCCAGGAGTAGGGCTTCTGGGTCATATGGCAGCTCTTTCTTTGACTGTTTGAAGAATCGCCACCAGCGCATTCCCTTTTCTCCACATCTTCATCAGCACTTTTCATATTTTGTCTTTTCTTTTAATCATTGCCATTTTAACTGGGGTGGTGTAGATTTGCATTATCCTAGTAATTAGTGATAAGAATGTATCTTTTAACATTTCTGTGCCTTTTTTTGAGAAATGTGCCTTTATGTCTATTGTCCACTTTTAAATAGGAGTATTTGCTGTACTTGCTGTTTTGTTATTGCGGTGTTTCAGTTCCTGAAATATTCTGGATATTGACCCCTTGCCAGATGTATGGTTTGCAGATACTTTCCCCGTTCTGTGTGTTGTCTTTTTACTCTGTTGATTGTTTCCTTTTCTGTGCAGAAAGTTTTTAGTTGTATAATCCTGTCTATTTTTATTTGCATTTCCTGTACTTTTGGTGTCTTATAAAAAAAATCTTTTCAATTCCACTGTCCCGAAGCATTTCACATGTTTTCTTCTGGTAGTTTCATGTCTATCTTTTAAAACTTTAATCCTCTTTGAAAAATTTTTAAGCATCTTGTAATTTTTCCCACATTAGTACAGATCTAGTACTATCCCAGAATATAATAAAATTTCCTACCTCTTTCATATTTAGATGTTGTTATAAATTTTTTTTATTTTATGGAAAAAAGGCAAAACAAAATTTCATAAGAAAATAATAGGAGAATAACAATAGTTAATACATTACATGTTGTTATCTTTAAAATAATTGCTCAAGATATGGGCATAAAAATTTCTCCAATTGTTATTAGCACAAACATTCCTTTTTAATGAATTAAGAGATACTAATTGTACAACTGACTTGCATTTTTCCCTTTTTCCCTACTGTCCTTTCCCCTTTCACCCATCCCAGTTCCTTTTCCTTTTGAAAAATTACTTCCCATTGCACAACATCGTTACAAAATTGTATGCCCCCACTCCTGGCATAAGAAAGAAGGCCTTCGGGTGTTACATTTTCTAAGAAGTTTGTCTTTGCTCCTATAAACCAAACTTTAACTCAGCCTACAATTTTCTCATGTTGTTGAAAGTCTACATCC